TGGACACTGTGTTTTCATATGTGTATTTCATATATATTTCTTCCATCTTTTCATGTAAGGGAAGGCAGTTGTCACCTATGGAACTGGTGATGGAGCAGGCCACCTGCCTTAGTCTTTTGTGTCCTGGGGACAGGCCAGGGGTTGGAGGAGGAGGGAGTATCTCACAGGAACTAAAGCTTGGCCAGTCTCTGGGAGAATCTACCAGCCAAAGGAGTCTGGATCAGAGGCCTTCCTCCTGTCCTCAAGGTATTTCTTGGGTCCCTGAATCTGCTCTTGCTCCTGGATGTCCCCCAAAGCTACACCTTGTTCCCTGAAAGCTGAGCTCTTAACTCCAGGCTGGGAGGCCCCCATGCCTGCCACAGGCTTCCCAACCCTCCGGCTAAGCTTAGTTTTGCAGCTCACTTGCGGCTGCTCTGGAGTGGCAGATGCCAGGCTCCTCCCTGCTGCTGGCTGGGCAGCAGGGACAAGCAAGTGTCACATGTGTCCCTCTGTATGGAGGGTCTCCCACTCTCCTTCTACCTTATAGGTCACTCTGGGACTTTGTCCAAGGCCATTGGGACATTAGCCTCTCTCAGATGCCAAAGGTGGATGTCACTTGCACAGTGGCAAACCTCTCTGTCCTGAGGGTAAATGGGTGACAAGGGGGCTGCTGGTGAAAGTAGGGTACAAGTGTATCAAGGCCTGCCCCCCTCCCCAGGGAGCAGCGCGTCACTGGCAGGCATTTATAGGGAGCCCCAGCCATCACTCACTCCTAATTTTAATGACGTGCATTAGCTAAATTGTGTTGTGAGTATTCATTCGGCGCTGTTTATGGGGTGCTCTCGAGTGTGCGCACCGTTTGTCAGAAGTGCAAACTAGCGAACATACGAGCCTTTAAGACAGGCCATCTGTTCGTCTTAGACCCTTGGACGATAGTCAAGCACTGCTAAAAATAAGTGCTCGCAAGCGGAGAGGGGCTGCCCAGGTGATTCACAGCAGAAAGGGGAGCGGAGCTGCCTACGTCCGCACCTTCCCCAGAGGGAAAGGCAGGTGACGGTGTGTGCTGGGGAGGCCCCGGCAGGGAGCAGAGGGAGATGGAGAGTCTCTGCCGAGACACCTTTCGGGTGGAGGCATGAGCTTCCTGTCTGTCTTGCGTCGTGTAACTCCACAGCTCAAATACTTTCGATAGCTCCCAGCGGCCCAGATTTAAGGGCAAGCTGCCTCGTCTGGCATCACGGAGCCTCATCAATAAGGCCCCTGCCTTCCTTTGGAGGCTTGTCTCCATAGCACATACCCGGTGCTTCTGCCAAGCTGAATTATTCATTGTTCCCCCAGCATATGCCGCACTTTTCACATTTCACAGGCAGAGCAGGGCCGTGGCAGAGGGCGGTATGCAGGCACTTTGTGGGTGCACATCCTAGGCTGGCATTGTCGACCCTGGGGCCCCGAGCACCCTGCGCCTCATGCCCCACACAGCAGGGACAAAGGTGGCACTTGGCTCACGGGACTGCTGAGGACTCTGATGATGCTCAAGTGTATGGTGTCTGACCAGCTGAGCCAGACACTGAGTCCCAGTCATGTGAGTCCCAGTCGTTATCAGTGTTACTCACACCTACAAGATGCTTGGGTGGTTCATCCTGCTTGGCATAGTGCTCGTTCATCTCTGTCTCTGTCTGTCTCTGTCTCTGTCTCTGACACACACATACATACACATATAACCATACACACACACACACACACACACACACACACACACACACACACACGTCCTAGTGCAAACCCTAGCTCAAACTGTCCTTCAAGGGCAGCTGGAAGGCTTCTCCTGAGTGAGTCCCTATCAGAAGCCCTGTCTCCCTGCTGCTTTCCATGAAATTCTGCAGCTGGAAACTTGGCAGAGGCTGGCCTGTAGCCCCTCTCCTTCTCCCCTGTCCACTGCCCAAGGCCAAGCTCCTTGACTATGAAATGGGCACGTAATGAATGGAGCCCTACAGCAGCCCTGCTCAGCCAAGCCGGGCTAAGGCATCTGTCTTTACCGAAAATGGAACCTTTCAGGCTAAGGCCCAACCCAGACCTTGATCCCTAGTCTCGGGAAGAAGAACCATTGTAAAACCAGGCCCACGAGGGCTTCTCATAGCTGCAGCCAGCCGGGGAGCGACACAGGGGCAGGGTGAGGAAAAATAGCCTCTTCTGGACCGAGAGTTTGAGGAAAGTGAGGTGGCTTCAGGAAGAAGGCCCTGCAGGTGGGACAGGGAGAGTGTGGGCGGGGACATAATGGTGGGGGAGTCACGCAAGCTGGACAAAGAGAGTGAGTGGGTGGCAGGGTATTCTGAGTGGAGAAAAAGTGTGTCTCTGCACCAGCTCGGCTTGGGTCTTCGGGAATGAGTCCTTTCTTTCCTGCCTCCTTAGGGTCTTTGATATCTGTGAGTCTCGACTCCCTACCCCAACCATGGCAGTGTTCTCACAAGGGAAGAGGGAGGGTGTCTCCATTTGTACATGCTCAGGGCACAGCCTGGGACCTCATAGACAAGGGCTGTGGGATGGATGGATGGATGGATGGATGGATGGATGGATGGATGGATGGATGCTGGTGTGTATCTCTCCCTCTACCATAGCATCTCCTGGGGCTCTCCTCCATACCAGATCACCCATTGTGCTGCAGAAAGGGGAAAGCAAGTATCCAGCCAGGTCTGGTGATGAGGGACCAGCGGCACCTGATGTCCTGAGGGCAGAGCTGTGCAAGGCATTCCTGAGAACAGTCAGCTTCAGGGACATGGGTGGGGGGAACTCTGACATTGCCTTGTAACCCCAGCTGTTAACAGTTCTGGGGGGGGGGTCCTAGCAGGGAGCAAACAGTCCTTCTGTGTATGGCACTTGTCTGTAGGTAGATCCCATGAGCACCATCGTTTCCTGAGTCATGCTGGCATCTCAGAAAGAGACAACTCACAAAGCTTGAGGTCAAAGAACTTGCTCCAAGGTCACATGTCTGGCAAGTGACAACTAGCACTGAGCATCGTAGCCCCTTTTGGCCGCTAAGGTACTTAACAGATCCCTAAAGCTGCCTGCCTGTCTTGTGGTCACCTAGAAGGGTGGCTTGTGTCAGTGGGACATCTGGGGAGAGCCAGGCAAGGTGCTAGGACTTGGTAGGTAGGTGACTGCCATCAGAGCAGTCACCTTATTGGAACACCGAGAGTGGTCTACAGGACTGATAAGTCTCTTCAGCCCACATCTGGGCCTCCGGGACAGGAGGGGCCATGTTGTTTCATGTGACCAGGCAACCAACGTGCTGAAACACTTGTCTCTTCAAGCATGATGCTGGCAAGGCAGGCCAAGGAACAGAACTTGAAACCCAGACCTAGAGACGTGCCCTGGGCTGCAGAGCAGTGGGTCCAGACCACAAAAATCATGGGCTGAGGAGGTGGGTGGAGCTCTGGCTCTGTGCCCAGAGTTGGACTGTGTGACCTTCTACTGGCCTGCCCAATCCCTGTGCTTTGAGGTGTAAGAATAGTCCTTCCACCTGGCTTCACACTCAGCTCACTGCTCCTGTGCCCGGCACATAGCCAACACAGATCCAGGAAGGAGTTAGTGACTGTCCCCAACAGAAGAGCAATAAGGATTCTGTGGGTGAAAGATCTACCACAAAAGGGGTTCCCTTCAGCTAGGCCCAACCAGATGCTAGCAGTGTGCATCAGGAAGAGGCCTTGATTCAGGATATCACAGAAACCCCATCCGTGAGTGCAGGAGCGCTGCCCAGTGGATGGCGGCCAGCCGAGAGCCTTCACTGTGCCTCCGCTTTATTTCCCTCACCTGCTTCTCTGCCCCACACCTGTGTCTCCCTGGCAGGCAGTGAGGTCTGCGGGTGCCAGGCGTCCTGGCCAGGCTCGTCGCAGCCTTTGGCTGGCCCCCTGCCAGCCTTTATGGTTCTGGGAAGTGCTCAATGGTAAGATCGGACGTGTCTTTAAAAAACTGGTTAGGGTTTGTTTGTTTGTTTGTTTTCCTTCTCTAAAGAAACTCAATATAGCATAAGCATACATAGAGAAAGAGACATGGAGCTAGGAGCGTCTTGTAAGAGCCATGTGTTTGGGAGGAAGCCAGTCGAAGCCTCGAAGGAGTCCATGCTTGGGGAAAAGAGCCACCCTAGATGTGCCTTGTAAGGTGTTTGTGGGGTGGTCTTAGTGGTGGATCTTGGGTGCCCCTCTGCCCCTCTCAGAGACTGCCCTTGGATGAAGAACAGCTTCTCTAAAGTGTATACACACACACACACACACACACTCGAGCTGTGACCTTGACCCTCTCCCGGGCTACTGTTGGATCGTTAATCCTGTGTATCACTCCTGCGTCAGACCCCTAGGAATGGGGCCAGCTGGAGTCTTCCCTGTCCTCACTGTTCCCAGCCCAGAGCAGAACGTCTAGCAGGTACTTAAGGACACAAGCTGAATGAACTCTGCTGCCGGTCACCTTCAGAGCACTGAGTCTGACATTTCCTTCTGCTGTGACATCCTGGGTTCCTGTTGGTGTAGTAAAATGTTAGGAAGGTAGTTTTTATTCGTCTGCCTCAGAACTCTTTTGGAGAAAGTTCCTCTGTAAGTCTAAACTAAAAAGCACGTGCTGTTGCTCCTGAAGGGAGAATGCCCTAAGAAGGGTTACTTATTTTCAGTTTCCCAGGCAGTGGTCCAAGGCAAGACTTTTCACCTTTAGGGAATTCCTTCTCCCAACATTGAGGTAAGCAGCTCTCAAGGGTCTTGCCTGGCTTCGGGCTGTCTTTGGCAATGTTCACACACACGAGAACTCACTGCATGCTCTCCAGTCCACATTCACACCATTTCCGCCAACGTGTTAGTTAGCACCCTAGACCTGTGTTAGCTCTGTTGTTCCCAGGCCGGTGTGCCTACCACACCTCTGCTGGGCATCGGGGAACCCAGCATGTGTCCAGCCCTAAGCCAGGGGCTCTTGTCCTGCCTGCAACTGAGCGGGGGCAGCCAGGCCCAAGTACAAGAAGTGCACAGACTCATGTGGGTGCTGGGCGGGAGGTGTATTATGGGGACACACCTGGGCTGGTGACGCAGTGTGAACGTCCAGAGGGCTGGAGGAAAGCCTGCTTCGGAGGATAGCTGGAGAGAGTGCTAAGGCAGCAGAGGTCCGGAGTTACAAAGAAGCCAGATCTGTGCAGAGGATGCCTTCAGTTCCACATGGCTGGCTGCTATCACAGGGCAGGAGGATGGGGTTCCCATGGAAACCACCTGGGGCCCATCTTCAGCTCCAACAATCTGCCTTGGACCTTGGACCATTTGAGGTTCGAGGTCATGCTGGTGATCTGGGCTTTAGCCTGCAGCAGGGTGCTGGAGCAAGCTGTGAATAATCGGCAGCCTGATAGACCCACTGGGTGCAGATCACTAGATTCTAATGGCCTGGATCTGCCCCTCCTGGATCCTAGGCTGAAGTGGGCTGGTGTTTTGTCTATCTGACCCTCACTTTCCACATGATGCCTCGTGAGAATCGAAAGCAAAGCGCCTCTGTCGGTATGTAGTCTGCGTACCTGCCATGAGGACCTATCCTGGAGAGTAGCTGTGGTCCCATCTCCATCCTGGGTTCTCAGACCTTTAGGGGGGAAAAAAACTGTGGTTGTCCTCTGGTCCTTCTGGAACTGAGACCTGGAGTCCAGGAGAAAGTCGCGGCGCCTCTCTTGCCCCCCCTGGTGGTTAGTGGCAGAGATGCAGACCGCTGCTTTCAGCCGGCGACTGGTTGGCTGGATCTCCTTGTAGGGCTCCGAGGCTGGGAGGTATACTGAAAAGCCCTCAATGGGGATCGGCTGCAACTTTGCGTCTCTGTCCCTGGAGGATGTTGCTTTCCATCTCCAGGTGTCTTGAGATGGACCACCGCCTGAGACTGGGACGACAATAGTCTCTGAATTGGCTCTATCCCTGACAGAAAAGAAATAAAAAGACCAGGTTTCAGAAGCCAAAATCCACCCCTAGCCCCAGGCTGCTGGTCGTGGTGGAAACAGACTCCACACTGCCCGCCCTGCCCGCCCCGCCGGGGCTGGCTGGAAGAAGGATGTGCGTGGGCTGTGGAGAGAGGAAAGCATTTGGCCACAGGCTCCCACCTGGGCCCTGGCTTCCCAGGCCCAAGTGGTCAAAGCGCACCATCTCCTTCTCACGTGACCACACTGGCAGGGCCCTGGGAGCTCAGCTCCAGGCTCTTCCCAGGACCCTCCCTGCTGGGTGACCTGTCCCCTGCCTGGGCCACGGGCGTCGCCCACCCACAGTCTCGGCGCGTCTGCGCTCACTCGGGTGCCTCTGGGCGGCCTCGCTGCTCTGCACATCTGCGGTTTCCTCCTGCGTGGCTCAGAACAGTGAGCAAGGGACCGAGATGTGATGCAGGGGGCAGCCTGCAGGCCGTCAGAGTTTCCTCCACGCCATTGGAGGGAAAGGAAGGTGGTGCTCATTATTGTCACCTCCCCGGCTGTTCCGTCTCCCTCCACGTAGCCCACTCCCTAGGTACCGACCCGAATGGTCTAAACTAAAAAAAAAAATAAAAAATAAATAAAAATGAAAACAGTTTACAGGGAACCCAGGTTGGCAGCAACAGGAGCCGATCCCCAAGCTCGGATCTACGTGGCACCTTGGCCGCTGCGTCCCCCGAGCACTTTTTTGCTCTGGCATTCTGTTTTGTAATGATCGAGCCGCTTTCTGCAGCTCTCGGCGTCCATGCCCCGGGTGGGAGGGGACAGGCATGCTCGCCATTCTCTCGCCCTCATGCGTGTCTCCTTTCTTCGCCTTTGCAGAACCACACGATGAGCCAGCACGCACAGTGAGGGACCTCGCGACAGGACACCTCTCCGCAGAAGGCTTGCCGGAGACGCCGTGGGGAGGGCCATTTGAACATTACATCCAATCAAAGTGTCATTTGCAACCCAGATGTAAAACTCTAATGATTTGGCCATGAGGCGCTGCTATTATAAGCAGCTGGAAATGAATATTAATGGCAGAGATTAAAAGTATTCCATGCTCAGTGTTTTTTATTGTCCTGCTACAGCTAGTGTGCTTTTAGAGTTTTCGCCGCAGACTACATTTCTAGTGTTAGAGAAACCTGCTTTTGGAGGCTATTGTCCTTTGTTCCTTCATGTATTATATTGATAGTTTTTAAAAAAAGGATTAGTGTGATTTCTTTCTTTGCTTCTTTTTTTTTCTTTCTTGTTTTTCTTTCTCCCCCTTCGGTTAACTACTTTTTAATTGCAATTCTAGGTAATTGTGCATCGTGATGTGATTGCTTGGCTATTGTCTGAATATTTCCTTTTAATTTTTTAATTAAAGACTAATGCTTTGATTGGATTTGCCAGTTCACCGGACAGTGATTAAAACTCTGTAATGAATATAATCGGTTTCCGTGCAACTGGATGGTCTGCTTTTAAATGTGACTTGATCTGACCGCAGTAACTAGTTCAGCTCAATAAAGGGAATCCATGCGATCAGCAACATTGCCTGGCTCTCTCCTCTTCAACCCCAAGCCAAAGGGGCTGGCAGGAGGTGTGTCTCTGGGGAGTTCCCATGGGCTCACACCGACCCCTGGGGACTCCATACAATAGATTCACAGAAAGAAGTGCCATAGACTAACACTTGAAGGCCAGATGAGCTGCAGGGGTCACTGAAAGAAAGAAATCAAGTACTCTGCTCTTGTCATTTCTGGATCAGGAAACTGAGGCTCAGGGGCCATGGGGGCCATTTTTATGCCCCTGCTACATATCAATGACCGACTCTTATCCATTGCTGGGTTGGAGGCAGATAGGCTGGTGGTTAGCCCTCCCGGTGCCAGGGCAGCAGAAATCACCTGGGCTCTACTTTGGGCCAAAGCATAGGATGTGAGGGAGGTGACAGCAGCTACCCAGCCGTGGACGGTCCAGGGCTGGTGACTTCAGGGTGGAACAAGGTGGGAATAGCAAGTTCCCAGCTGAGACCTGTGGCCAGCCTGGTCAGGACTAAAGCCTGACAAGGAAGTGCTCCAGTTGCAAAATGCCAGAAGACACCGTTCAAGGACGACCTGCACACACAAGCCCTGAGAAGGTGGTGCGGTCCCCTAGTTTCTCACTGGCCTAGTGACCCAGGCCCTGTCGCTGCCTCAGGGCTCACCCCGAACACCAGCAAGCTTCCTGGACTACTTCCCTACCAGAGATCGCAGAGCTCGTCTGACTCTCTCATCCAAGGCTGGACTCTGTGCAGGGAACCCTTCCTGGCTCGCGTTTCACTCGGGGCAAGGAGAGCGGAAGTGAAGCAGACAGATTGCACCTAATTATAATGTGATAGCGAGTCAGCGGAATTTGGAGCAATTAGGCTCCTCATCTTCTAGGGGGTTCCTAGCTAGGGGTTTCCGGTGACCTGTAGGAGGGCCCTTCCTGCTTCTTCCTACAAGGATTGGGGGTGGGGTGGCGCTTCCCAGGTTGCGAAGTCAACTTTGGCCCGAGTGAGCTGCCCCTGACCATAGAATGGGAATGTCGTCCTTGAATGCAGGTGACCTCAAGGTGGAAAGCAGCAATATTCAGTCCTGGGGTTGGGGTGGGGGTGGATGTTTTTGGAGAGATCTCAAAGTTGGGAGGGCGCGAAGCTTCTCCAGGCGGTCGCTACGGCCGGGTTGGGCCCGGATGCAGGCAGTGCGGAGACTGTCCAGTCAGGTCCCCGAGCTTACCACCTCGCTCCCTCGGGCGCTCTCCAGCTCCGGATTTATCCGAGCCCCATGCAGCCCAGGTGAGCCCTCAGTAAGGACCAACAGAAGATGTGATTTGACGGTTGGTGGCGTAGGGCTAAATTAGTCACTGCCCCCATTAAAAATACAGCGGGGGGTTTAAGAGCTTTTCACGCCGAGTGGGAATCAGCGGCGAAGCCGGCTGCTGCCTTGGGTAAGGAGAGAGGCGGCCTGGGGGACGGCGAGGTAATGAGGTTTATGGCGGTGACAAGGCTGCCAGGGAACCCTGCCGACTCCCCTCGCCCAACCCCATTGTTCTCCGCTGGCTGTGCCCCCATCGCGGCAGCTGAGCGCCCCTCTCCACTTCCTGCGGGATGGGGGCTGGGACTCGCCTTCATCGCTGTCAAGCGGCGTTGGGGTGGGGAGTGGGGCACCGCTATAAATCAGTGACTTCGAGCTGAGCGGGTTCCCCGCGCAGCCCAGGCGTGTGTGTGTGTGTGTGTGTGTGTGTGTGTGTGTGTGTGTGTGTGTGTGTGTGTGTGTGTGTGATGGTGCCCGTAGCTCGGCTGTGAGCAAAGAGAGGCCAGGCCTTCTCCCCAGGCCACCTTTAGCCTGGACGGTTCAGGGAACCGGCCGTGTCATTTGCATTTTGCTTTGGGGCGGGGTGTGTGTCCAGAAGCCTACTTTCGTGGTCGATGCATCTAGATGTGCAGACCATCCATTTTATTCGGCTCGATCTTTGGGCAAAGGGATTTCGCCCGGGCTTGGAAATGACCCAGGATTCCTGGGACACATGTATCTATTCTAGCTTCTGGAAGCAGGACTGTAAGAGTTGTGATCGCTGGAGAAGCTGCCCTAGGAACGTCTTCAGTGCACCCTCTCCCCAACCATAGAGTGGTCCTCCTGACTCCCGGTGTGATAATGTGGAATTCCCATCTGATTTTCCTCCCTCCTTGTCTGAGGGTGAGTTCTTTGGCGTGGGGTGATGGGCACTCGACTTTGACCTAGCTACCCCTTCACTCATCCATCTGCCAGCTGTTGTCTGACTGTTCCTGTGTCCCAGGCACCACCTAAGATAGGGGCCACAGATGAGGAGGGCCACGTGTGTCCCTTGGCCTCCTGCAGCTCAGAGTCATTTGACAACCACCCTCCAAATAAGCAAGCCACTAGACAGCCAGCGACACACAACCACAGTGCTATGGTGACGAAAGGCAGAAGCTGTGAGTGGTAGGTGGAGACTCCTGTGTTTGTTTCAGGGCTGTGTCTAAGAGGCCTTGCCAAGGAAGTGACCTGAATGGAGATCTGTAGAATAGAAGGAGCCAGCAGTCACAAAGAGGAGGAAGAGGGCTCAGTCTGTGCAGAGCTCTGAGCTAGAAGCAAGCTTAGAGGGCTCCACCACCTCTTTTCTACTTTAGAAAGTCTAATAGCAGTCCAGGGAAGGTCATAATTTGTCCAGGGTCACACACTGGCTAGAACTGCAGCTGCACTTCGTGTCCTGTCTCAGATGTCTGACTCCCAGCTATATTTTTATTCAAACATAATGATGATGATAATCAATCAAGCGACGCAGGAAGACTGCTGGTTCCCCCTTCCTTAATAGAAGAGACAGTATAGCTTATAGATCTGACTCCTAGAAGTTAGGTGTGTCCTTAGTTAGTCTCTCAAGGCGATATCAACAAAGGCTATGAAAACTTAGGAGCTATCTTGAAAGAGAAAAAATGAGTTCATTGCTCTTCCCGATGGTTGGGACGTGGCTTCAATCGCTGGAGAGCTGGTACCGCCTTGACTGACTAGGTAGGTAACTTGATTATAGCACTCAACACTCAGTTCTTTCCCATTGTGTGTTAGGTGCTTATTGGCGTAGGCTGGAAATTACCTTTGCAAAAGGGACACCTCGAGATGATTTGCCTCCCAAATGCTGCGGCCCGTCAAAGCAACAAGCAGAGGGTCCCTGTTCTACAACTTATACCTGACTTTGATTCTCTCAGGAGAAAAGGTCAAGAGTGAGACACCCCACAGGTGCTCAGTGCTAGCGAACGGGCCAAAAGGTGACAGCTTTCTTGCAGGGTCTCTCTCCAGCTAACTGCAGAGCTTGGAGTGCCCTGCCTCCTTCCTCCAGCTCATCTTGTTATGTGCTCTGGTGGGATTTCATTCCCTTCTGGTTCAGGGTGAGTTCTTGCTGGATGGGTAGACGGGGGAGTCACTGAAATGCTCACTTCAGGAGCATTGTTCAAGAGGAAAACAAAACAAAACAAACACCCCAATATGTTAAAATCCAAATTGGTAGGTGGCTACCCCTTTTGTAAAATAGGTTTTAAATACCCAATGCTGTGATTAGGAGAACACAGCATCAAATCTGTGTTTATTTCGCAATTGGTTATTTTGTCCAGGGGTTTTATTCTGTTAATTCTGATTTTCAAAAATATTCCATGAAAATAGTCTGCTTTCTTGCTTGCTGATTTTGCATTCACTTAACTTTGTAGCTTAATTAAGTACCTCATTCATACGAGTACCCCAGCACTCTGACCTCTGAAGTTGGTAAGGTGCTCCAAAGACCAGAGTTCTGATAAGGCCTGATGATTAGCCCATCGCTGGGTGTGCACATACTTTATACCTGTCTGTCTCTTGGAACATGTATCAGTCAGGACAGGCTAGATCATGACATGGGACGAAAGGGTTCCCAATTTTCAGTGGCTGACAACAAAAATTTACTGCTCACTCATGCTCTGTGGCCATCCTGAATTAAATCCCCAGGGACCTTTCTTCATCCGAATTGTTTAGAAGTCTCACTCAGAGAGCAGCCAGCAGCACTTCATATGTAGTCACTCATTCAGGCAGGGGACAGGAGGATCCCAGCGACATCTCAGTGCTCCTGACTGAGGAGTCTCTGTACTTCCTCACTCCCACCCTCATCACACACAGAGTCATTGCAACACGTGGCCCCACTTCATCACAAGGGGCCTGTGGGGATCCTGTGTGTGCCTGGCACCTAGAAGAGAGGCTGAAGAGCTTGACCCAGAAAGCTAGGTGTCTCCGGTGCGGGCACACACTCCGCAGCCATGTTTATTTACCTGATGCAGAAAGTGAACGTGAAAGCGAATGAAGGACAGGAAGGATGGCCCAGGACAAGAGGAGCGGGCTCAGAGACAGCTCGGAGCCCCAACTGCTGCGGAAGTCGACTGTGCTGGGTTCGAGACATTCCACCACTGTGCCCACCTCAAGCCAGGCGGTGCCGTCCGTGGCAAACAGAGTACTCAGAGCTAAGCTCGCAAAGTTGTAAATCTGAGTAAGGACGGAACGACGTCCTACGCATACAGGCCGGGGCACCGTCCTAAGCAACGTGTGGATCTCCTTTAACCACCATGTGCCCCTAACACACCGACTGGGAGACAGAGGCACAACACTGCCCAGGTCCAGAGGCTCGGGACTCTGCCTGCAGGAGCATCCTGCTGAGCCAGTTCCGCCCCGAGGCCTGCCCTCTGCTTCCGGAGTCCTGATTGGTCCGGCCTGGGAGGCCCCGCCCACCAGTAGCCCCGCCCACCCTCGTCGGCCGCCGCCGCTGCTGTTGCGAGCTGAGCGTGGGCTGCGCGGTGTGAACTTATTTGTGGAGTTATTAATTACTGAAGGGCACAAGCCGTGCTTCTGTGCATAAAAATATGTTTGAGCAGTTTCTACTTAAACTTTAAAGAGAACGTTAATCAATTTTATTTTAACAAAATGACCTTAAGCAGGGGGAAAAAATTGGTGTTATTTGCCCAAACAGGCAAATTAATTTCTCTCTCTTGAGAAATCTGAGAAGCTTCTAGAAATAGCTATGCATAATTTACACCTGCCGTGGCCGCTCCTAGTTTTAACGCCAAGCCCAGTCAAGATCCCACCTAGTCATATAACAACACAAAGGAGTCCTAGCGAAGCCTGGCTAGGTCCAGCCTTATCACCTCTGATGACCCTGGAGAGAGGATGCTAAGCAAAAGGGTCATGGAAGTCTGTAAAGCCCCGCCCGCTGCATTACGGGAAGATCAAGGCGGCTGCCAGGCGCATCCCAGTCCCTATGTCTCCATGGAGACGCCGCTCCCCAGAGGACCTGCTAGCTGCTTCTTGGGTCGGTGACCTCTGCCTCATGGTCCACTTAAGGGTGAGGCTGCGAGGCCAGGCGCTGAGACTGGTGGAGATGTGCTGTTTCCACTTTCTCTTGTAGTATCGCATCAGCCGTGACAATGACAGCCTCGGGTCTGATGGAAAAAAACCTCCACCCCCAAACCCCCCACCCCCACCCCCCACCGCGTCTTTGCTATGAGATCCCAATAGAGGCATTTCCAAGAGGGCACGGTGTGGTCTTTTATCTCTGCTCTACGCCTAGTACCTAGAACGGTGCCAGGTCATCGTAAGTGCTCAGAAAATGCTTGCTGAATGGGCGAACCGTGCAGAATGGAGCAGCTGCCCCTGCCTTCACGCTAGGGCTACTGCAGTGGATCAGGAGGCCCCAAAGAAAAAGCTGCATTTGCTTTTGGTTAATGTCTTGGTTAGGGTTAATATTGCTGGATGAAACACCATAACCAAAAGCAAGTTTGAAGGGAAGGGTTTATTTGGCTTACACTTCTCATCATAGCCCATCATAGAAGGAAGTCAGGACAGGAACTCAAACAGGGCAGGGTCCTGGAGCCAGGGGCTGATGCAGAAGCCATGGAGGATTGCTGCTTATTGGCTTGCTCAGCCTGTTTTCTTATAGGAAGTTCCTTGTAGAACTTAGGACCACCAGTCCAGGGATGGCCGCAGCCACCATTGTCTGGACCCTCCCCCATCAATCACAATTAAGAAAATGCCCTACAGGCTTGACTATAGCCTGATCTTACGGAGGCGTTTTCTTAACTGAGGCTCCGTCTTTGATGATAGCTTGTGACAAGTTGACATAAAGCTAGCTAGTGCACTCTGTCACTACCTGGTCACCTTCCTCAGCTCAGCCATTGAGAGTACAGACTGCTGTCCCTCTGAAGCCAGCCGTATCTAGAAGGTGTGCAATGAGTGGTCGTTGAGTGACTGCCCAAGTGTTTACAACCAGAACCCCCCTCCTGAGGCTGACTGGAGCAGGCGGTGGACTGAGGAGGGAAGTGAAGGCCTCCTGTGTGGCAGGCCCAGTGCCTTTTGCCCCATAGGAATGCAAACCCAGGTCACTGGACAGACCAGTAGAGAGGAAGAAATACAGAACTTCACATGAAAAGCCTGCATTTTTAGTACTACTTATGCCAGAGTTTAATTAAAAAAACAAAACAAAACAACAAAAACAAAGTCCCTTGTGTGCTTAAGAAAAACATTTCAAGGGCCACCAATTTGAGTCCTCTGTGGTAGGAGAATGGCTTGAACCTTGGGTGCCTAACAAGAAGCGGGTGAATAAGTGACGGTTGAGCAGCCACAGGGAAATCTCGGGTTGCCAAATGGTGGGAGCTAGAAGTGGGAGGCAGAAGTAGGAGGCCTGTCTCTGTCTCTTCTGAAGGATGCAACTCTTTCCCCCTCTATTCTTACAGCCCTCCAGGTGGTCCGAGCTAGATTCTTGACGTTCTCTATGCCCCAGTCTCGCCATCCGGAAAGCAAGTATACATGTCCAGCCCTCCATAGCTGTGATCGTTTGACCAGATGATGTCACAAGCAGTTAGTGTGGCAAATGTGGCCATCCATTCCTGCATTCAGCTGAGGACTCCAGAGGCACCAAGAAGCCACTGGGAAAGCAGCTATGTCCCTGAGTGTCTGAGGATATCCCACTACTGGTTTGTGCTAGACACACTAAGAAATAGTGAGGACATTTCAAGATTTGGTGTTCCAGTACACGAGTCTCTGTACAGCACAGCAAAAAGGCCTGGTTCTGCTTCTCATGGAGAGGGGCAGATGTTGGGGTGGGGGTTGTTTCTCCCACCATCTGCTCACGTGACTTTGGGCCCTTTGTTAATCAGCTTTCTGTCACTATACCAGAATACCTGGGAGACTCAGCTAACAAGGAGAAAAGGTCTATTTGGGGTCATAGTCTCAGGGGTTTCGGTCCATGGCCACGTGGTTCTGTGGCTTTGGGGCCTGTGGCAGTGCAGAACGTGGTGGGTGTTGTGTATGGTGGAGCACAGCTTTTCATCTCACCACAGCCAGGAAGCAAAAACAGGAAGGACTGGGATTCCAGTGTCTGCTTCACAGAAGCATGCCCCATGACCTAACATCCCGTCACAAGGCCCCACCTCCAAGGTTCTCCCACCTCCCAGCAGCACCTGGGGCTGGTGACCAAGTCTTTAACACAGAGTTAGGTTCAAACTATCACAGTTCTGTTCCTTCCCCAACCCAATTTTCTCACCTATAATGTTGTTGAATCAAAGCCCATCTCTTGCCTTTAAAGCTCTGGCTGTGTCTGGGGCTTCCTTCCGAGGCCTGGGGACTGGGACAGGATTTATGCGGGACCTGTGAGGAAGGAGGAAGGGTGCCTTCCTCACAGGAGGAAGGGTGCCCCTACCTCAGACTGGAGAGAAGGTGGGGGCGTGCTGTACTTGTGACATGCTGAGCATGCAAGGGGCAATTCTGTTAGCTGGTTATTGATAAAGCCCCATAAGAATTCAAGAAAGAGGGCTGGCAAGGTGGCTCAGTGTGCAAAGACACACACCGTCACCCCGACCACCTAAGTTCAGTCCCCAGGACTCTACAGTGGTAGGAGAGAACCGACTCCAGGAGGTTGTCCTCTGGAATACTTGAAGGATGCGTGGTGGCATGTGCCCAGCACATACACATAGACACACAGTAAACAAATAAGTAAATGCATGTGAACAGTCTTTTTTTAAAAAAAAAGAATACAAGGGGAAAAAGGAGCCCCGAGAATATGACCAGGAAATTGTCATCTTAGCAAAGTTGAAGTTGGACTTGACCTCTTGAGGGATCACTTGAGCCTAGGCTCTTGACTTCACTCTGCCCCCAGGCACCCTATGCCCCACTGCTGTGGGTTAGCACTGCATCCTGGCACGTCTGTCTATATCCCATTTCCCTTCTCCTGAGCCCAAACAGATCCTATCCCTCCTTCAAGGCTTAGCTCAAGAACAGCTACCTCTGAGAGCACGCCTGATTCCCCTAAGGGAGGTGCTGGTTTTGGTGGTCTGCTTTAATCCTGGCACAATGTAAGTCACACCAGACCTACTGCTACTCCCAGGGTCACCCTTCATTCTCTTCTGTCATTACAGCAGGAAATGCCAATGCCGCCATGAGAATGGGGATATTTATTTTAAGATACATTCCTTCCAAAAATAGTCTATACACATGAACACATACATTCACGTTTATGTCTTTTCTCTCACAAAAATTCAACACATTATCTTACTCCTTTCTCATCATGTTAGCATATTGCAAGGAGGTCCTCCATTTCAGCTTCCTTAGTGGTTATGGGTTATGTGTGACTATTTGAAGCAGTCCATTTCACATTGAACATGGAACTGTCCGTAGTATCTGCTCATTCCTGTTTTTGATGCCCACAGTGTCTGTAGTAATGGACCATTTTATCCCCGATAGTGTACTTTGTGTCTTCTCTCTGTGACTCTTGTTAGATCTTTTCAAAGACTCAAATCTTTGTTTCATCAAATTTTATGTTTTCAATTTCATTGATTTCTTCTATTAGTTCCTTCCTAATTGTTTTGGGTTTATTTTACTCTTGTTTTTTGATTTTTGTTGGTTTGTTTGTTTTTGTTTTTCAAGATAGGGTTTCTCTGTGTCACCCTGGCTGTCCTGGAACTCTTGTAGACCAGGCTGGCCTGGAACTCACAGAGATTCACCTGCCTCTGCCTCCCGAGTGCTGGGATTAAAGATGTGCACTACCACCACCCGGCCTATTTTTATTTTTCAAATTTATCTTTCAAAGATGTATTTTTGTTTTTATTCATGTGTGTTTGTGCTGTGTTTTTGGCATGTGAGCTTACAGGTGTTTGTAAATCTCCCAACACAGGTGCTGGGAACTGAACTCTGGTCCTCTGGAAGAGCAGCTGATGCTCTTAACCACAGAGCCGTCATCTCTCCAGCTCCATTTTTAAGGTTCTTGATATGGAATTTTAGATTGATAATTAAAGACTTTCCCTCTTTCCCCTCCTTCCCCCACCAACAGGGTTTCTCTGTGTAACAGTCCTAGCTGTCCTAGAACTCACTCTGTAGACCAGGCTGGTCTTGAACTCACTGAGATCCACCTGCCTCTGCCTCCCAAGTGCTGGGATTAAAGGTGTGCACCACCACTGCCTGGCTTAAATGATTTATTTATTTAATTTCATGTGCATTGGTATTTCGCCTGTATGTATGTCCTTATGAGGGACCCAGACCCCCTAGAACTGGAGTTACAGACAGTTGTGAGCTGTCATGTGGGTGCTAGGATTTGAACCCAGGTCCTCTGGAAGAACAGCAAGTGCTCTTTAACTAC